GTTGGCTCCCACACAATCCAAACCTGGGGTTGGGGATCAAGCCTGCAACCGAGATACATGCCCTTGATTGGAATCGAACCCAGGCCCCTTCAGTCTGCCGGCAGACACTCTAGCCACTGAGCCATACCAGCTAGGGTTGGTGACAACTATTTAAGTGAACAAACATAGGGGGTTTGGATGATAATATGGAGCGAAATGATCTCTGACGCATTAGGTGTAGAAGTGACATCTGTGTAATCACATTGAAAAGTAATCATAATTAAAACAGCAATAGTTAAAGACAAAGAGAGAATCTGAAGGCAGCAAGGCTGTCAGCTGATTTCTAACAGAAACACTACAGGCCAGAAGGGAATGACATGAAAAATCCATTCCACTGTCTCTGTTTAGAGCAGTGGTTCTCAACCTGTGGGTCGCCTTTTCACAGGGGTGAAACGACCCTTTCACAGGGGTGGCCTAAGACCATTGGAAAACACATATATAATTACATATTGTTTTTGTGATTAATCACTATGCTTTAATTATGTTCAATTTGTAACAATGAAAATATATCCTGCATATCAGATATTTACATTACAATTCATAACAGTAGCAAAATTACAGTTATGAAGTAGCAACAAAAATAATTTTATGGTTGGGGGTCACCATAACATGAGGAACTGTATTAAAGGGTCATGGCATTAAGAAGGTTGAGAACCACTGCTTTATACCCTCCTGGTTTCTTTGTCTCCTAAATATGGGTCTTCTGGACCTTTTGCAGGCTTTTCAAAGAGCCCTATGTACTGGGATGGGGGGAGTGTGCTTAGTTGATATCTTGCAGGAAGCTTGTAGCCTTGAGCACAGCATAATTCAGATAACTAAAAGACACCTGGCATGGGAGTAACCAGGGATGGACCAGACCCTTCCGTCAGCAGAGTGGCTTGCAGGACCAGGTAACTGAGCTTATCATCCCTATTATTCGAGCAAGCATGTTTACAGAAGCCAGGAATAGCAGAGTTAATTAACAGAACAAAGGACCATCTATGTTTAGTGAAAATTTTTAAATGGCAATTCTAACAAGATGGGGTGCCTATGGTTCAATAGCAGCAAAATTCATCATACATGCCTCTCCTAGAGAATTTAATGAGGTGTTTAATGATGTCCGGTTGCTGCTTAATAATGATAATCTTCTCAGGGAAGGAGCAGCCCAAGCATTTGCACAATATAACTTGGACCAGTTACTCCAGTAAAAATTGAAGGTGATGAAGATCAGGTGTCGATAACAAAACATGGATACATGAGAAATGGAAAGTTTTTGGATCCAAGAAAACAGGATCTGTTTCAAATTTGATCACTTAAGAAAGGAAGCAACTGACCCAAGACCGTATGAAGCAGAGAATGCAATTGAATCATGGAGAACTTGAGTAGAAACGGCTCTGCGACTTCTGTAAAAGAACATTATCCGCATGGGGTCTGTACTGTATGTGGTAAAAAAACATATGGGCAGCAAACCATTATTGATTCACAGAGAGCCATCAGTTCCAAGCAAAAACTTTTGGAATGGTCATTGGAGGTCAGAGTGGAAGTTTACAATCACTCCTTCAACCACTCAAGTGGTTGGCATCTTGAAATTTCAGGTTCATTATTATGAAGATGGTAATGTTCAGCTAGTGAGTCATAAAGACATACACGATTCCCTAACAGTGTCTAATGAGGTGCAAACAGCAAAAGAATTTATAAAGGTTGTAGAAGCTTCAGAAAATGAATACCAGACTGCCATCATGGAGAACTTTCAGACCATGTCGGACACTACTTTCAAAGCCTTATGTCAACAGTTGCCAGTTACACAACTAAGATTGATTGGAACAAGGTCCTCAACTGCAGATTGGCAAAGAGATGCAGAATGCATAAGATGAATATTGCGTGATCGGATCATTTTAGCAGCTTTGTGTTTTTATTTATTTATTAAAACACATTTTATTGATTTCAAACAGGAAGGGAGTGGGAGAGTGAGAGAGAAACATCAATGATGAGAGAGAATCATTGATAAGCTGCCTCTTGCGTGCCCCCTACTGAGCATCCAGCAACCTGGGCATGTGCCCCTTGACTGGAATTGAACCTGGGACCTTTCAGTCTGCAGGTCGATGCTCTATCCACTGAGCCAAACCAGCTAGGGCTCTTTGTGTTCTTAAAAATATTATTGCAGCCAAAGCCGGTTTGGCTCAGTGGATGGAGCGTCGGCCTGCGGACTGAGGGGTCCCAGGTTCGATTCCGGTCAAGGGCATGTACCTGGGTTGCGGGCACATCCCCAGTGGGAGATGTGCAGGAGGCAGCTGATCGATGTTTCTCTCTCATCGATGTTTCTGACTCTCTATCTCTCTCCTTTCCTCTCTGTAAAAAATCAATAAAATATATTTTTAAAAAAATATATTATTGCAAAATTATTGAACTATCAAGCTACCCAGTCAGGTGGGCTATTGACATTTAAAGATCGCTGTAATTAGTTTGGTTAGAGCACGAAGCTTAGCTAATCAGCCATTATTTTTCATTTCTTTTGTTCAAAGAGGATTGAAAATCAGTTTAGTTTAAATGTCTTTCACTTTCTGTTATGCCTTTCTTACAATGAAGAGATGATTCCTCTAGTTTAATGTTAAAAGTTTATAAAAAATATTTTACTTACCATAAACCTAAAATTATTGTCTTTTGGTTTATGAAGTGTGTAACTTCTGATATTTGCCCAGTTCTTTTTAATGGGGTCAATCATGGGCTTTCCAGTTTAAGGTGTTCAATGGGTTTAGCTGTATATGCTGCTAAAGAAATTGTCTGCCTTTCCCCCCTCACCTCCTCCATATATGTAAGATTGAGATGAGAAGGAAAGCATTTTCTATACCAATTGTGTTTAAAGCTTTCAAGCAAGTTATTTAGCTAGTTTAGTGTTTAACGAACCTTCCTTTAAAGCAATGCCAAGGGCTAATGCTATTTTGAGATTCTAAAATTAAATGAAAACTTATTTCAGAAATGCATTTAATGCTTTTTTTCTTGTGTTATGCAAATTAGCTTGAGTTAATTTTGTCATGAAGCCACAAATCTATATATATAAAAGCCAGAGCGACCGGGCAACCAAGCGACTGAACGACCGAACACCGAACAGTCTACTGTCGCTATGTTGCACATGGACCACCAGGGGGCAGACGCTCAATGCAGGAGCTGCCCCCTGGTGGCCAGTGTGCTTCCGCAGCAGGAGCGCCGCTCAGCGAGCTCACCAAGCAGCAGTAGCCGCAGGCACAGTGGGGCTGGGATGAGCAGAGTGGCACTGGCTCCTCCCCAGCTGCCTGCAGCTTCCCGCACTACTACATCCCTCAGGGGATGCTGGACTGCCAGTTTCAGCCTGGTCCTGGATTGCGAGAGGGTGCAGGCCAGGCTAAGGGACCTCACTAGTGCACAAATCCATGCACCAGGTCTCTAGTGTATTATAACAAGGCAAACTGTACTCTATATATATAAAGAGCCAGGGACCATCGCAACCGAACGAATGACTGAACGGACGACCAAACAGGCTGAATGGGGTAACCAGGCCAGCAGGGGGGTTAGTGAGGGACGACCAAACAACTGAAGAGCAGGCTGTGTGGGTCGACCAGGCTGGCAGAGGGGGGCAGTGAGGGGCAACCAAGCCAGGGGGGGCAGTTGGGGGCCACCAGGCAGCAGTGGGGGCAGTTGGGGGTGACCAGGCCAGCAGTGGGGGCAATGAGGGGAGACCAGGCTGGCAGGACGGGCCATTGGAGGTGACCAGGCCAGTGGGAGGGGCAGTTGTGGGCAACCAGGGGTGATCAGGCTGGCGGGGGGCCAGTAGGGGCATTTAGGCAGGCAGGCAGGTGAGCACTTAAGAGCCAGCAGCCCCGGATTGTGTGAAGGATGTCCGACTGCCGGTTTAGGCCCAATCCTCAGGATCAAGCCTAAACCAGCAGTCAGACATCCCCTGAGGGGTCCCGGATTGGAGAGGGTGCAGGCTGGGCTGAGGGGATTTCCATCCCCCACCCCCCCCCGTGCACAAATTTTGTGCACCGGGCCTCTAGTATATATATAATCTTGAACTCATGACCATGTCTCGTTTGTTTGTTTTTTTCTTGGATTGAAAAGTACTGAAATTCAATGTGACATTAAGATGAAAATTTTTTTATTTATTTGAGTAGAAAATCACTTACTAGTCATATATTATTTTAAAATATTTTCTCTAAAAACTGTGGTTCTTAACTGGTTGTAAATTAGAAAAGCTGGGAGTACATAAGGTGTGCAGTTACGATCTAAATTTTTTCCATCTTCCTGTTCACCATATACATGTTTATAATATTTTTAAAAATACAATTACTAATGCTACAAGGGTTTTCAAGCCTATGGTGAATGTTAGTATTTACTATAGGGAGTGGATTGTATTATGGTTTTATCAATCAAATTCCACTTATTATACTCCAGTGGAATTTTTCCTCACACACTCCTGCAGATGTCTGGGCCTGGAAATGTTATTTTAAATATATCACTTTTATTATGCACATAAAATATTTCATTAGCTTGAAAAAAAACGGAGGATAGTTATTCACAAGGATGTCAGGGCTTTGTCAATTATAGCCTTTGTGCCGTGATTAGGGCGTTGGCATCATTTAAAAATTCCTTGGGAATGAAAATGAAAATGGATAGGTTATTTATCGGTGTACCTAAAATTTAAAATCAGAGCCCTTTCATTATTCATTAGTAGAAGCTACTTATCATAGGTAATCACCTAGTATGTTGTGAACAGAGCTATCGGCACAGGTTTACTTTTGTTTTTTTGCTAATATCTGAACAAAATCATCCTATTTACTATTGGAAAGAAAGACAATGGGCAACTATGCCTGATGCGTTTCTTCTTTTATAATTAATGGCGTACTCTGCTTCTCCTCTCAGAAAATCTAATATTAATACCTTGATTCTTAAAACACTATCACAAGTAAAATTTGAAAAACATAGAAAAGACAAAATTGAAGTAAATATCAGGTTATTAAAGGGTCTCATCACTAGTCTTATATTTTAAAAGTTTATTGAGTCGTTTATACATCAAAACTAAAATGCATAATTAGAAATGAAAATATCGGCGTTTGAAATTTGGAGAGCATGGCTGGAACTGAATGTTTTAGGTTATATATTTGTGGATGTTTATTGTCCTAGGAAGGTTTCCCCACCACCTCCATATCTTCAAACCTTACAAACAAAAAGATGTAGAAGACTTTAGATCATTATGCCAATGTATACGGCTTCATACAAACCACAGCGATACCATGTTTAAGAGCTTCCCAAGGCACTATATTAAAAGGACATGATTTCTAAACTCAGGGCAGAAATGAATGCTTTGTGAACTGCTGAGAGAGACTTCCCCAGCGGGTATCACTCTGTGCCATCTTTGCTACTGGAAGACCAAGAGGCATGAGGTGTCTAGTGGGGAAGCACAAGTTCATAATCATGCTCCGGGGTGCAGGGCGAACGCCTGGTGATGCACGTCCTGAGGAGGGCATATTCTGTTTCTTCTTTAAACGATTTCACCCTCTTTGTGATGGAGTCAATGTTCTCATAGCCATTGTCATTGGAGCTCAAGGAGGGCTTGGGTTGAGCGCGGGGACGAATGACTGTGTAGCACACTTCTTCGGAACCACAGCCGTCCTCATTTTCCTGCCAGGCACAAAGGAGAAAGAAATCAAGGACCCAGCCATCCATCAGATTCGAACTCAGCCCCTCCCCCTCCTCTCTTCTTCTCTGATGAAGACCTTACACTTCAGGTGTCCAAAGCTTCGGGCCCTGATGTCTGAGAGACCTCACTGAGCAAGGCGGGCTGTGCTCTAAGTTACCGCTCACTCTGCTTTCCTCTCACCTCACACAATAAACGAGAAAGGAAGCACACTGCTATCCCTCCTTTAGGCCACACGTGTTGAGATAGAATATATGCAGCAATCAACACTCAGCAAGTAATTGATCAAGTTACATAACTATAAATATGTATAAGATAAAATACAATTAATAAAATTTAGATTTTTAAATAAACTTTCAATTGCATAGACTATGAAAGAAAAATTTAAAAATGAAGATACTACATAATAAAGTTAATAAAATGCTTGTGATGTAGAATTAAAAAGAATAAGCTTTTTAATGTGCCTGTTGTTATCCACCATGTTTGTGAATATAAATGTTAATTCATGGACATAAAGATTGGAAACAAATGTGGAAAGTTAAAAAGAATGGATGTTTTATAGTGTCAGATTATATGTATGTATTTACTTGATTAACTTATTTTTGTTATATTAGTTTTAAAATTAAAATAAGACTTCAGTAGAATTATAACAAGAACTTTCCAATCATCTAAATTCAAAGCATTTAAAAATGTTTAAATTTATTTTTGTTTCTGCATTAAAATTCTCAAGAATATTATTTAAAATTTGAAAGATATTGATCAATGCATTTAGAAATTTCAAGTAAAGGAAGATCTACAGCTATGCTTATATAAAGGCATCTGGATTTTGACATTTATCAGACAAATGTAATATTTTTATTACCTGATTAGAGGTGGATAAAACTTCATTACCTAGAGGATAAAACATAAAAAGAAACCAACCTAAGAATTTTGGACATCACAGTTTGGGGATGAGGAGTGGTTAAAAGGGTAGAATGCAGTGGTAAACTGTAAAGAGGCCCACCTGACACTGAGCTTTTCAAGGCTCTAGGACAAGACCATGGAAGAACATATGTCCTGAAGCAGCATCAGTACTGTTTCTGTGTAAATGATACACACCAAGGCTGCTGAAGGACAGTGGAATTTGGAAGTGGGTAACACAATTTTGCCCACAAACATGCTATGAAAACAGAGTATGGCAAGCATGAAGGAAGAATGATTATAGTTATAAATTTAAGATAGAACTTCCATAAAAGCATCACAGGAAAATCATATTTTTAAGATGAATAATCATTATAGAGATAGGTACTGAAATAAGAGTAAGTTCTTCAGATTAAATACGAAGGTTGACTACATATATGAATACTGAAGCAATTTATACATATGTTAATCTGATATCCACTGTAATATATTTTTTCTTTTTCCTCTTTTTTTTCCTTTTCTACCACTACATATATATTTTTTAATCCTCACCTGAGGATATTTTTCCATTGATTTTTGGAGAGAGTGGAAGAGAGAGGGAAAGACAGAGAGAAACATCAATGTGAGAGAAGCACATCGATTGGTTGCCTCCTGCATGAGCCCCGACCAGGACCGGGGAAGAGCCTGCAACCGTAGTATATGCCCTTGACTGGAATTGAACCTGGGACTCTTCTAGACGACCATCTGGACAACCTTCCAGACGAAGCCAGGGCTGCGAGGAAAGCCCGGGTTTTGGGTTCCAGAAGGAAGCCGGTGCCAGCAGCTGGGGAAAGGAAGGTCCACTCTTGCATGAATTTCATGCATCGGGCCTCTAGTATGTTAATAATTTCTAATAACTAATCATTCTGCACAAATAAAAAGTCATGTTCAATGCAGTGCTTTCAAATATAAAATGCTACATATATCCATAAAACCACATATCTTCATAAATGCAATAATTTAATTAAACAACTATGTTTTGACTTTAATAGTGTTTTATAATCATAAACTGAGGAAATTATGTAGCCTAGAAATAGAATTCAGTTGTAGCGTTAGAAACAGCAATTTGGAGGACCAAGTGTCAGTGTGATCGGCATCAGAAAATCAAGGACCAGTGGTCCCACTGTTGGTGCTGAAGATGTTAAAATGTTTAGAAACAAGCATAGTTAGTCTCTGATTAAAAACATGGAATTTGCCATTACGAAGCTAAAGGTCAGTTGAATTAACCTCCTGAGTAGACTTCTTATTTGAAGTTAGGGCATTGACTGGGGGAAATATGGCCCTTAGAATCAGAACGAGAACTGAGAGAAGGTCTGAGGACTGCAATGAAGCTGGGCGCCAGCCTCCAACAAGTCTCTCTTGTCAGATGAAGTGCTCCCTCTGGTCTTGGATAATGAGGTTCTTTCTTCCTCAGCTGAAAAGGGGAGACTCTGTTTCTTCGTCTTTCCAGCTCCTAGAGGTTGCACTCATTCCTCGGGTCCTGCCTCCCTGTGCTAGCGACCTGAGACCAGCAATGCAGTTCAGATCCTTCTCCCACCGCCCCGCCCTGGCCCCGTCTCCTCTGCATCTGTCTTCCTCCTTGTACGGACCTTTGTGTTTACCCGCTGCTCTCCTGGATAATCCAGGGTCCTCCCCCCACCTTCATACCCTTAATGTCATCACATCTTCAATGTCCCCTTTGTCATATTTTTTTTTTAAGTAGATTCAAATGCATATCTTTTGGGGCTTTTATTCTGCCTACCGCGCATGTATTCTATTTTATTTAAAAAACATGAATATATCTAAAGATTTAAGAGTATAAGAATATTAAAGCGAATATGTTAATGTAACCTTATTATCTTTCTGACAATATCCCATAAAATGACAAGGAAAGCCTTTCTCTCCTCAAGGCCATGAGATAACACATTAGAGAGCACCATGTCGTTTTCTGAAATGCTAACTTCACTTGCTGTTTGTTTTTTTGTAAACGTGGTAGCCCTGTTGTGATTTGTAAGACCTTAGTACACTACAGTGGCTACTCTGCAATTCAATTCAATAATTGTGATTGACTTCAACAGTTGGTATCAGGAATTGTTAAAAGCAACACACTCCCCAAAGTGTGAGAATCTGGTCTTAGTTGTATCACCTGGTTTGGTTTAGAGGCAGAAAGGGTGCCACCAGTGTTAATATATGGACACAAATGGTCCATGATATGCGTGACAAAAGGTTTATTAAAGTTTACCTGTGGTCACCAGGATGGAAGAGGCCAGCCTAAATGACTGCTTAAACAGGCCATTACAAAAAGAATGCGGAATGTAGACACTGACCTGTGATCCAATTGCTTCTGGAGTACATAAGCAGAGAATATGATGCATTCATGCCTTTAAAGTTGTGATTCAATAAATAAGGCATAGTTCTAATAAGTAGACATTGATTTTTAAATGTTATTTTCACAACCAGAATCTAAAGTTGTAATATTTTTTAATTTTAAGACAATTTTCCATATGAAGAAACCAAAATTTAAAGAATATGAGTAACTTGCCTCAAAGTTGATATATATGAGAACGAACTTTGATAAAATCCACAGCGCAGAACTAGCAGACACTGGCGCTTTAAAGATGTGGTGATCTGGCTCTCAGCTTCTCCCAGAACCAAACTGGAAATACAACTCAATTGGGGAAAAATCACCCTGAATTACTAACTAAAGACTATCTGAAAAGGGGGCTTATTTATTTTTATTTTTTAAATATATTTTTATTGATTTCAGAGAGGAAGGGAGAAGAGATAGAAACATCAATGATGAGAGAGAGTCATTGATTGGCTGCCTCCTGTTGGTGCCACACTGGGGATTGAGCCTGTAACCCGGGCATGGGCGCTGACTGGGAATGAACCGTGACCTCCTGGTTCATAGGTTGATAGTCAACCACTGGCTGGGCTGAGGAGGAGACTTAAACAAGGGCGGACGGAAGAAGCCACCTCGAGGATGGTAGGAAGGGTGGAGATGTGCCAGGGCTGGCCCTGCTCCCACAGGCAGTGCTGAGGTTATGGAGGGATAGTTCAGCAGCAAGAGGTTCCCCAGAGAGGCATGAAGGCTAAACACCAAGCCAGGCTCCCCAGCCCAGAGCGCCAGAGCTGGGAACAGGTGCCCATAGAGCATCCAGCTGTAAAAGGGGGCAGGGTTTCTGAATGCCAAGGAGAGGCGCAGTCCCTTTGAGACAAGGGCACCCTCTCAAAGGGCCAACTCATAAAATTTTGTTCGCAGCCACTCACCCTGGGCTCAGGTGACTCATGTCTGTCACCTGAGGAGAATCTGGGGCTGGGGCTGGGGCTCTGGGAGACAGGGGGTGAACAGCCACCAAGACCCCTGTACTGAGTCATCCTCCAGGACCGCAGCAGCCATCTTCCTGCGGCAGAGAGGTCCTCTCTGCGCAGTACCAGCCTGGGGAAAAGCAGTTAACCCACCCTCTGGACTCCTGCTCACCCGCAGCAATAGTAACCCTGCTGAGGAGTCAGTGGCACCGGCTGGGGCACAGCAGTCCGGCAGACTCAGGGTGTCAGTGGCCAGCTGTGGGATTAGGTCATTCCCTCCAATTTCCCATGAGCCTGACTGGCGCTTCCCTCTCATGGGAGATCCGATAGGAACACCCTCCCAACTTCTGGGCCCCAGAGGCCCCACCCACTGACTCCTAGGGGCCCTGCCTGCAAGGTCGGGAGAAATCCGAGACAGAAGCAGAGGTGTGACTCTGGGGCAAGGGCTCACACCCACCATCTTCCCTGAAGCTGAAAACACCTCCCCCTCGTGGGAGACCCAACAGCCCCAGCCTCCTGATTCGACCAGAGGACCTTTCAGTGATTGGGCCTTTTCAGTGACTAAGCCTAAAAGCCAGCCAGCAGGCCCAGGCACTGAGGTAGGCCCTGGTGCCTTGGGACACTTGCTGCCAGGCCTCTAAGCCCTGTGCTAGCAAAAGCTGGCCTTAGAGTGCAGCTTGGTCCTTCCCGTGCACAGCCGAGCCCAGCAGAGGAAGCCACAAACTGTGGATCCCTTGTAGCTTCACACAGGTGACGGAGAGCCAGGCACAGACAGCAGTCTGACATTGGCTTACAAAAGAGTCCCTCCAAAGAGGCCCAGAGCCAGCACAGCGAGTGGCCAGCTTCATACAGCGTCAGAGCAGGATGCCTCTTGGCTGTCTGTATGTCCGCTTTGGAGAAGTAGCTATTTAGGTCCTTTGCCCATTTTCTAACTGGATTGTTTGACTTCCTTTTGTTAAGTTGCTTTGAATCTGTAGATTGCTTTGGGTAGTATGGACATTTTAATGATGTTGATTCTACCAATCCATGAACACGGTATATTCTTCCATTTGTTTATGTCTTCCTCTATCTCTTTCTTCAACATCCTGTAGTTTTCTGGGTACAAGTCTTTTACACCTTGGTTAAGTTTATTCCTACATATATTAATATTTTTGTTGCAATGGTAAATTGGACTGTTTGTTAAGTTTCTCTTTGCCGAATTAATTTATTAAATCTAGGGTTTTCTAGTACCATATCATGTCATCTGCGAATAATGAGAGTTTCACTTGCTCCTTTCCAATTTGGATGCCTTTTATTTCTTCTTCTTGTCTGATCACTGTGGCTAGGACTCCAGTAATATGTTGAATAAGAGTGGTGGAAGCAGCCCTAGTCGTTTTGGCTCAGTGGATAGAGCATCAGCCTGTGGACTAAAGGATCCCAGGTTTGAGTCCATTCAAGGGCACATGCCTGGGTTTTGAGCTCACTCCCTAATAGGGGGCATGCAGGAGGCAGCTGGTCAGTGATTCTCATCATTGATACTTCAATCTCTCCCTCTCCCTCTCCCTTCCTCTTTGAAATCAATTTAAAAACAAAACAAAAAAGGACTGGTGAAAGCAGACGTCCCTGGCTTGTTCCTGTTCTTAGGGAAATGGTTTTAGTTTTCGCCCATTGAGTATGATGTTAGC